AATAACCCAATTAAAATCAAGATAGATTATATCTATTTATAAATTGGGGACTCTCACCTATGTGTGAAGGTATATCACTGTGGCAGTTATAAGTCTAAGAAAAATTTATTATTTAGACAACAGCTCGTCATACATCGCTATTGTCCTGTCAACATCACCCCAAATATTGGTAATCATCATAGCTGAGATAGCTTTATGCGATTATTAGAAAAAGTATAAATAAACCTCTGTATTTCATTCAATAAAGGACAACTTACTTTTTAGTCTCGTTAATTATTTTGTCTATTTACCCAAATACTTCAATATCTTTTCAAATATGACAGAAACTACCAACGTTACATTTTGAGAATTAACAAATCAAATTGCATAACTATAACTAGCATCTTTTCTTTTTCTTTTTCTTTTTCTGCTTACTTTGCACTTAGATAGAACAGCAAATAAATATAAAAAACTACACTATAACGCGTATAGACTGTACTTACCTTCTAATTTCTAAATGACTGTTGCGGATACTTAAGGATTATAGCAATAAACATAGAGCAATTATAGTCATGTTAAGCATAACCTGAGATTCAATGCATTAATCCCAATTCAGGGCCGCATAGCCTTGATTAGATTTTATTGTATTCAATTGTATACTTCTTTGGCACATAATAACTGATGTAGCCAATAAGAGCATATTACCTGTTACTGCACACTGGATAAATAGTATTTGCTTGACAACCGTTGCTAAGTGATGGTGTGATTTGATTCAGATCCAATTGCATTGCTCAGGGCCAAATCAGTCAGCGTTGAACCCTACTTGCTATTGTTATCTCTGTTTGGAAAACTTTTATATCTGATCCAGTAAGGCAGGTACATTTAATGATCCAATAAGGTCAGGAGCAAACAGGAAGATACTTTAGGCGAATTGATCGTTAGCACTATCTATGAAAAAAGGATTATTAATTGTTCCAGGATAACCAGGTTTACCCGTTGAAGAAAAAGTATAAATAGAGGACGATTTTCATATCAATAAAAGATCATCATATTTTTGTTATATCTTTTCCTATGAAAGGATATACACAGTTCTAACAGTACTTCTGTCTTTTTTCTATTCTACACTACACATTTCCATTATCCCAAACAATGACCAACATAATGACTAAATTACAGAGAATTCACTTTTTTTTCATATTTTAAGAATAAGTCCTTTAAATGAAACAGAAAAATTTTATTATTTTAAAGCTCACCTTAAAGAACTGAAACAACTTCTATTCAGTCATGATTTCTCACATTCCTTCCATTACTCTATTTGACATCTGCATACCAGCATGTAGCTTGAGATAACTTGAGGTAGTTTTAAGATGTAAAAGGCAAAAGATAGGGGCAAACAAGTGCCTGTAAGAATTTTTTTATTCCTGAGAATTGAAATAATGCAAAATACAATGAAAAAGAGGGCTCTATTTGTACTTTTTGATGTGGATTAAATCAAGGTACGATTTGATTCGTTCTGCTACGGTAATGGTTAAAGTTGCGGTACCTGGTTTACGACAATGATCTGGATGCTTACTAAGTTACTCTAATTGGGTATTCTTATTGTAAAGACTACGCATTGGAATAGTGCTTATAAATCACTTTATATTCCTTATTGGCTACGCACAGACTCTGTCTTTACTTATTATGGAAATTATAATCTTTGTTCTATAACAAGCTGAGATTCAATGTTGTTTTTTTTACTATTTAGACCAGAGGACAAACACAAGGAAGAATAATATATATGCTTTAATCATCTTATTGGTTTATTGAGCGGAACTTAAAATAATATACAATAAAAGTCTAAATTTTTCTATAATTTGTTCCTTGATTATCTGTAGCGAAGGTCATTACTAAAGGGAAAAAGGGTGGGAGGGAGATATTATTCTTCCTTGTGTTTGTCCTCTGGCCTAAATAGTAATTCAAGGTCGAAGGTATTCTCTCAAGAATCACCTGAGACCGTCAGACAAACACAAGGAAGAATAATATATATGCTTCTCCAGAGATGTATCTAATGAAAATCCGGTTCGGCATCGTAAAAGGTATCTTGGTCTTCTATTGGATCCTGTAGTACTGTGTTTGTAAAGTCTATCAACGATAAGTGTTCTCGTCGATAGTGGTTGTGGAAAACATCCGAGGAGGACCAGTTGCCAAGTGTTACGATATCTTCAACAGGGATACCAGCACGGAGGGCTAAGGAGGAAGCAAGTGATCGGAGATTTACTCGAGGCTCGTTTGTCGACATTTGTATGAATCGTCGTATCCAAGAGCTAATAGTAGTAACTTTGACGATTTGTGCTGTGCCCATACTATTGACGAATAGAGACGTAACCGAAGGTGGAGGGGACAGTTGAGAAACTCGAGTACGTAGATGAACGAACGTGGTGACAGGACACAAATTTGGGTTGGTATGACTAGATACCCGAAAAGGTTTGATGATGCGCTGACCACCACGTTTTTCTTTAGGCGCCACTACATTGAACGAAAGAACGTATTGATTGTTTTCTTCAGTAACATTGGCAGTGGTGAAATCAATACGATGGATATCCGATGGTCTTAAGAAGGCAGCCATACCCAACAAAAACGCGAGCTTTTGTTGTATTTGGGATAAGTGTGTTGAGGACGCACCGGATTCAATTTGTTGTATTGCACTAAAGGTTGGCCGTAGGTTGACCGTTGGACGGTGTAGAGGTTTTGGGGGAGCTTTGGCTGTAATGGAATGCAAGAGAGTGTGTACCAATCTACTCGTTCGAATGCTATCAGGACTGTGATGTAAGTGTGTAATCGCTGAGCGGAAAAGACGAAGTGTGGTGTGTTGGTATCCTCTTGATTCGAACATTTCAGAAAGAAAATTAGCTACATGTACCTCTGTGAAGTTGGTCATTGATATATCTTGTTCTAAAGCCCATTCTATAAACAATGATTGTCCACGTTTGTAAGATCGATTAGTGGCACTGTCTTCAAGGCGTGGAGTGCGCAGAAGATCCCCTGTAATTGCTGTTAATTCGGGGTTGCAATATGCAGTGTTGAGAGCCGCCAAACGGATAGTTTCCACTGCGGCAGTAGTGGCCATGGTGCTGATACGGTGGTTGTCTGAATATCCTCGTGTGTCAGAAACAGAGGTGGTTGTGTCGCCAGTGACTGTAGAAGAGGGAACCAGAGTGCCGTTGGCCAGTAGGGAGCTACTAGTGTGATGTAAGGTACTCGTTCTCTGCGTATCTTTTCTAATACTGGTAGAAGTAGGTTCCAAGGTGGATTCGCATATGGGTTCGGTAACTGGTTCCATTTCAGCGTTAATGCGTCCACCTTTCAAGCTCCTGGATCTGGTTTCCACGATACGTACTTTTCGAGGAGGTAGCTTGTTCGGTCTGCAAACAGATCTACCCCATGAGGACCCCACTTGGGCTGAAGTAGGCTGTGAAATATCATAGGCTTGATCTGCCACTGGTTTTTTTGTAAATGAGCGTCGGGATTCGTAATCCGCTACGGTGTTGTCGGTACCGGATACGTGGCTTGCGATGAGCATGAGTCCTCGTTGGAGGCACCACTTCCAAAGAGTTGTCGCAAGTATCATCAGGCTGTGAGATCGAGCTCCTCCTTGCTTGTTGATGTACGCTAGGGATGTGGTATTGTCCGTGCGCAGAAGAACAGTTGTGTTCTTGAGCTGAGGGAAGGCCTGCAGAGCTAGGAATGCAGCTTTCAGTTCTCTCCAGTTGATGGACATGTTCGCTTCTTCGTTTGTCCAATAACCATGGGTTCTCTGGTTCTTGTATGCGCACCCCCAACCTGTGTTGCTGGCGTCTACATATAGGGTGTGTGCTGGAGTTGACGGAAGTATGGATCGGCCGTTCCAGTGCTTGAGGTTGTGTAGCCACCACTGTAGCTCTTGCCGACTGTCTTCGGTCATGTGGTGAGGTCGGTCCCAGTCTGGGTGATTCTTCATGAGGTTGTTCTTCATGTGTAGGGGGTGCTGTGTAAAAAGGCGAGCTGGAAATATCGCGAATGTCGCTGCCTGGACCCGCATGATCACACTTTGAATGGTTCGCGGCGTTTGCAGTGGAGTCTTTAGGAGCTGCTGGATGGATTTGCGAAGGTCGCAAAGTTTCTTTCCAGGAAGTCGAGCTGTCATCTGAATGGTATTCAATTCGAAGCTGAGATGTTCTAGGACTTATGACGGTTGCGTCTGCGACTTCTTCCAATTGATTAGCCATCCCAGAGGCGTCAAGCATTGGGTGATCGTCTCTGTGTTCTTGATCGCTTCTGATTTCGTTTTGCCCAATACAATCCAGTTGTCGAGGTAGGCGCTCACGCGAATACCCTGTTTGCGTGCCCATTCTAATATTGGCTTGGTGATCTTGGTAAACCAGTAGGGCACAATGGATAAACCGAATGGTGTCGTCTTGAATTGGTAAAGAGAGCCTTTCCAGTGGAAACGAAGGAAGCGGCGATGATCTGGATGTACAGGCAAATGGAGAAACGCATCGGACAAGTCGATTGATGTCATGTAATCACCCGGCTGAATCATTAAGGAGACTTGTTGAAGTGTCTCCATTTTGAAGTGTGGGCAATCGACATACTTGTTCAGTGCTCTAAGGTTGAACACTGGCCGACAACCTCCTGTCTTCTTGGGAATCGTGAACATTGGACTGATGAATCCCGGGTAACGTGTTTGATGAGATAATCATTATAATAACTCGAGTATAATCTTACAGTAGAGCATACATTCTACTTTACATTCCTCTATCGCATCTGATAAGAATAAATTATAATAACAACTATAGTAGCTACTAGTATAACAATATTAATATAAGCATAAATAATGTCAGTGACGACAATAATAAGTTTCTCGTTTTTAATTCGAATGTTATTTTGCTCTTAATTATTATATTTTAGACAATTGCAATTCTCGACGCACTTACGATCAGGCCTTTTTGTATGCAATTGGTGAAACAAACAGAAGTGGCCAATCTAAGAAACGAGCATTGATGTTCGCTGATTTTTATGATGTTGTACCTGCCGCGATAACTGACGAAGATGGTGACGAAATAGATGTAATTATGTCACCAAGTCATATTGAACAGTTTCAAACGATGCTTGCAAAACCTACACAACTGACTCTAAGGCGTCCAGTTCAAGATTTATCTCCTAAAAATATTTTTAGAACTTGCGATACTGTTAATAGTATCGGTGAATTTAGAGCAATATCGCAATACTTAACAAAGTGACACTATACCGAATTGAACAAGGATATGATTGAAATACTGAACCAAGACTGGGAGATCAAGCCAAGGCAGCGTTTTATTGTGGCAAGAGTGCTAATTGGATCTGTAATAATTGATACTGAAAATCATCATGGTCTTCTTATTTTAGCCTTGGAAGTTTATGGTCGTGATCCTAATATTGATAGCCACGCCGAACAACGAAGCTCTACTGGTTCCACTCGCCAATCAACATCTGTGCCGTCTTTGGGTCACAATGATTTTGAAATATGTACTATGCACCAAACAGAAGGAAAAAATATTTCCATGAAGCTTATACTTGGTACCCACCCCTTTAACGCCCTTGTAACTGCTAGTGCACGTATTGACAACTTGGTTGATCAGCCAGAATGCGGACCTAACACTGTAAATTTCGTTGTGCCTCCTCATTCTCATTTAAAATACAAACTATACCTCGACTCACAATCATGGTCTGACTCTTTAACGCTTGGTGAAAAAACGAATTTGGATTCAATTTATACTCACTCACGCCTTATGAAACTTCGACAGCTTAAAACACGATTTCATGAAATTGATACTTACTCTTCTAAACGTTCTACATTATTCCATGGATATTTACAGCAACCTATGACAGTATTCACGTATGGTAAAGGTACTACATCTATTAATTCTGGGGCCTTATCTTCTAGGTTGCTTGCTACTTTAGCTACCTCAGTCGTGAGGGATGGTGAAAGTGCTCGTTTAGCGAAAAACAGTGTTGAAAAACTATTGCCCGAATTTACCAAAGAAACAAAGGCTAAACTTGTGTTTCTACGGATTCTTCAACTTTTTGACGACAATGATAATATTTCTATTATTGGAAATAGAGACCTGAATTCTCTTGCTGAGGAATTAGCTACCTTATTAGCACCGTATATATCAACCGCAAACAAAAAAAGTGTTATTCCTTCCATCGCTGACCATTTAAAATTGTATTGATTGTAGTAAACCGCCCTTCTTATTAAATGAATACCCATTTCACTCCCTCTTCCACCTCATATCATACAATACCTTTTATCATCATTGTTTATTATTGATAGCTATTCGTTAAAAAATAAAATATAGTACAGTTAATACAGGTTTCAAACTCGACCAACCCTATATTCTTTATCATGCTCGAACATTTAATAAAAAAACGCGTGGTACATTTATCAAAATAGTAGGTGGGTATGTAAAACTTTTGCAAGAGATTCATAGGTATATAGTATAAGCTAAAGTGAATAAGCCACGAGGTACATAAGGGTTTAACCTCTTATCATGATCTGAACCAATAATGTGCACTAGCCGCATAACGAGTCTTTTATACCGTCTTGACCTTTTTTTTTGGTAAGATATCCCCCTGTCATATTTGAGGGGTAGTATATTATAAATAATAATATACTGAAAGGGAAACGTTTAAATATGAATGAAATAAATATAAATATTATCGAATTTATAATAAAAAGTGTTGCACATCTGTTAATTGAACACTGGAGTATACTTTCAGTATACACCATTAGGAATCATCATCCACATTCAATTAACATTATATTAAATATGACCTAGGAGATAGATGTAGGAAAATAATGATTCCTCCATGAACCTAGCTAACTCATGAAGGATAAGAACAGATCATTATCATTTGACACGTCAAACTATACATATTTATGAAATCATGTTATATGATCGAAAGGACATGTGATATTTGACTTATATATGTATAAAGATAAGGTAAATAAAATACAAGAATTAATGAGAAAGAACTTATAGTCAATTTTATTCTGAAAATAAAAGAGAAAGAGACTTCTGCTACTACTGCGTGTCGTCCTATTTATAAGATTTAAGTTCTTTGTCCCGAATTGAAACATCGACATTGCTTTTGCTTCTTTGGAATTTCGTGCATCGGCTTAGTTTAGCTGTTGCTATATTCCGCTGGGTCATCATATATAATGATGTCCAATACTAGACTCGCAATCCGAGAAATATCTTTTGAATTGATATTTGTCATTATGGTTTTAAATCCGGTATCAAGGCTTAATGCAATAATAGTACTGATTGATGAGTTTTAATGTTAGAACAGTTATGACCATAAAAGTAAGCAAGCCCTTTATGTCTTAGGACTACTTTTATCACAAATAGGAATTTAGCCTAGTTGCATAAAACGAACTTCTAAATTATCTATTTGTTTGTAAGGTCGTATACTCTACAAATGTCTGTGCACAAACCTTTATTATATAGTCTGAACTATATAATATGGAAGCAATAATAATAAGCATTTGTCTCGATAGAGGTTAATCTGTTCTTTACTCAATAGAAAGTAGCTAAGCTTACATTGAGATCAACCACTCGAAACATTATGTTTTATATTATTCCTTTTTATATTATTTTAATTCATGCACTAATCTACAATGCATTTCCACAAATTAAAATATATTTGTCTAACTCAACCAATGTACTTTTTATAGTTTCAATTCTTTTTATATTTTGACAGCCTTGCTCGTCAGAATATAATTAGGTTTTTTTATTTATTTAATCATTTCAACCTGAATTCCTTCTCAAATTAGTCTATCAACTGTCTCAAATACGACAGGACATGTAACAGATAATGTACGGACTTGTAGAGTACATTATATCAAAACCAGATATACGGTAGGCTTAACCACTACTTCGTATTTGACCACAAATAATATCAAGATAATTAAGACTTGACATCATATGCATAAACTGTTCTAGTACAAAATGCACACAAATTGCTTTATATGCATCACGCATAAAACGGGTTTAGGAAGAACAATGTTAAA